TTCCATAAAAAAGCTACATTTTCTAGGCAACGCAGAGACATCCCAGGGAATGCAAAAAAAAAAGTTAAAAGCAGACAGATGTCTATGGTAAAGTACCTTACTGATCACTTTAAGGATTTCCTTACATCTGAGTGACAGAACATTCTTTCAAAGCAGTATGGACATTTTCGTCTCTAACAAACATTCATCCCTAGGTTTAAGTTCTGTTTCTGTACTTGTGTGAAATTCAGGTGTTCATCTCAAAAGAGGAGCAGTGAAAAAAGTGAATGCATCAAAGGCAGGTAGAATGCCTTATTGGATGTCAGCACTTAAACAGATCTGAAGCACTCCCCAAGCATCTTCCATAAACCAGTTCAGCATAAAACAGTGCTGTTCAGGTGAACTTGGGTTCTCCTCATTTAGCTTCCCCATAACGAACTTTAAACAGCATAGCTTTAAGATTGTAACAAGATCAGATACAGAAATAGGAGCATTAACTCCTGTCGGTCACTGCATGGATGTTACCCGACCCTCGCAGATTTCCAGACCCTTGTGGATTTTCTAGGTTGGTTCACCTTGCTACTGTGCCTCCTCTGTCTAAGGCACACTTTCACAAACTGCTTTCTCAGCAGCCACGCCAGCTCAGAGAGCATCCTGCCTTCCTCACATACTTTTTACTGGGCAAAGGGCAATGAAAGCTGATACCCACCAGGCATAAAATGTACACTTAGCACAATATTCCTTACAAACAGCAGAACAAATGGTATTTGGTGGCTCTTTGCAGTTACATAAAATGAAAGACAGGTTTCACAACATAGCCTTGTCACACCAAAAATCTGGATTTTTACTCTTTCAGCTGAGTTCTCCTTTCAGCTGTGCTATTCAGCTTTTACCGGGAAAGAAAACAATGTGCGTGCAGCAAAGAGACAAGGTAGAAAATAAACAGATTTTGCAAAGCATTGCAAGTGAATGCTGTTAAAATCTCCTGCATCCCATAGCATTTTCCACCAGTTACTATTTACATAGAGTGTTACACTGGGCCTGAAAAACACTATTGATAGCATTTTGTATCCCCTAATCACAAACCAAGATGCTCACAAGGGAAGGGAAAAGGAAAAGGAAAAGGAAAAGGAAAAGGAAAAGGATAAATTGTCGGAGCTTGGAGAAGAACTGATTTTAAAATACTTGCAATTACATACTTAACTAAAAATAGCACTTTGTGCATTAACAAATTCTGATTATAAAGATGGATGTGACAGGCCTTGCTAGAACTGGAAACACACACATTCTCACCCCAGCAGGAAAGGAGATACCCTCTGTGAAAAAAAGGGGAACACCAGCGTTGGAAGTGCTGCCCAGAGACAAAAAAAAAATAACAGTAGGCCTGTAATACTAACCACAGGTAGCCCAGACCCTTGAAGGGTCAGAGGAAGGACATTCAGCCTAAAGTGTCCTTCATCTTCACACAGGTGCCTGCCCTGGCCCATTCCTTAAGCCCTCCCTCACCCTGCAGTGGATGGCAAGTCCAGATTACAAGCAGAAAGGGGAACAAGCATGCAAGCAGATTTGACATGAAACTATCAGAAGTGAATTTTAAAGTGGTAGTTGCACAATGTTGCTCATAAATTTAGAACCTCAAAGGAAATACCTGGGACCTACAGTGCTGGCGACAAGATACGTGGTATGTTACATGGCTCTGCAATTCATCACTCGGTATCTTCTAGCCTCACTTTCTGGATTTGAAGGCAGAAAAGCATGTTCCTTGGGGATAAAACCTGGACCTTCCCTGGTGCTACTCCACCAGCTTGGATCCAAATTCTGACTGAAGAAAGTAAGTGCAGCACTACCAAATGTTTGGTGAGCAGGGACAATTTAAGATTCGAGGCAGTTTAAATCATTCATTATTTAAGATAATGGAAAAGTCTCAAATGCCAAGCTGATGAAGTATCTACCAATTAGCAGAATTAGTACTTGAAATAGAAGCAGCAGTGCAAAATGAAAACCAGGAATGCTTCAAATAGATTTTGGAAAGGAATTTGCTAGAGGTGAGGGTCATGTACGTAGAAATTTATCAAAATAACCCCAGTGTTGACACACCTATACTGGAATAAAAAAATGTTTCCTTCATGTTCTCCCCTCCTGATTTAAGCTCCCACCCCATTTCCAAACTGGTCTGATGCAGATGAAACACAGCCATGCCTCACTCAAACTTGCCTAATACCATGCAATAGAAATTCCTACTGTATTTGTCAAATAATGCAGGGTTCTATCATAGATAGCTCTGAATACTAGCCAAAAGAATTGGAAAGTTACAACAAAAAGCCCAACCATCAAACAAACCAGGAATCTCCATATCTGGAGGGAATGTGAGAAACAGCCTAACCACATGGCATGTGGTCAGTAGCAGACCACAGTTAAAAATACCGCATGCAATGCTTGTTCTAAACCTATATCTGATGTAAAATTACGTATATGGGAAGTGGTAGTGAAAAGGATACCACAAAGCTGAAAATCTGTTTGGTCTTCAAGTCATGGTACCAGTGCTCTGCATTCCTGCAGCGGGCAGAAAATCACAGTTTCCTACAAGTAATGCAAAACCAGATGCTCTTAACCAGTTTGTCAGAACCATCTAGGGTGAGAAAATCAGTGGGGCTAAAATTACAAGTTCCCTGCATAAGGAGCAATGCATTAAGGGCAGGCTAGTGAGGCCACTTACCAGACACTGACCAGCACAGAGACTGCAGCACAGCAGCCAAGTGTGCCAGTACTGCACCAATAAGCAAATGGAACT